CCTTAGTATTTTCCAGAGTGTTTAACAGAACGTGTCTACATCATGACGGACTATGAAAAGCGACTGACTGAAAAGGAAGACCACAAGACTAGGTTGAGGCATCTGAGTAGCTAGGTCAGCCTGCGTCAAACCTTAACGAGGACCGCCTCCGAATCTCGGGGAGCAAAATGAACAATAACCCTGTCAGGTCAATGAGACCTTGCGTGTCAACAGCCCTTGTGTGGAGCAGTTTCCGTGGCAGCACCAAGGAGCCATCACACAAGAAAACAAAATTAATTAATGCCCTTCCTTCCTCTGCGGTCCCCGGGAGCAGCAAGCTGAAAGCGGGAAACTGCAGCTGCTGCTGGATGCGCCCGGTGCTTGCACAGCTCACAGATATGGCAACTCATCCGCTGGGCACAAACCCGCAAGAAGCGCCGCGGGTTACAGGTGAAGGCAAAAGTTAGCCACACACAGTCAGCATCTCTGTGACCTCTGCATCTTCAATGCAGTCCGGACTTTGAAAAACAACTCCGTGATATTTTACAGTGATTTATTGTTTCTTGTAGTTCCAGAAAGGGAACAGGTGTTCTAATCAAATTTCTGAATTAAAACAGTTTTAGGTGCTGCCCAGTCAAGAACTTCCAAAAGGGCTGGAAGGCATTTTTAGCACATGAATAATACTCTGTGTAGATACAGATGCTGGAAAAGTCAGCTGCTGAATTTGTTTTCCCATCCAAATCTCAGGTAAGTGGAGAACGCGACATGGGAGCTGGACATAGACAGTTAAGCCGGGTGGGTTACCTGGCAACTTCAAGGCATTTCCCTCCCGAGCAGAAACTGTGAGATGATCGCAGCACATCCCGAACCAGCTCCAAACATCTCTTTACCCGATCTGACTCCTCAGGAGCACTGCTGGGTAGCCTGAAAAAATGTTGCTGGGGCCACCTTGATCTTGGGAGTGCATACTCCAGGTTGTGAACCCACCTCCAGGGACGCCCCCAGCCCTCAGCCATGCAGTCTGGTCAACCACAGGCCTCAGAAGGGGCCCAGCGTTTATGATTTCACTGCTCTATCAAAGAGCCCAATCTGACCCGCCCCGTCTGCACACACATCCCCGTGGTGTGCTCCGGGTCGCTGCCCCCTCCCGCTGCGCACTGCTGAGCAGGAGGTGAGGCCTCGGCGTGGCCTCCAAGGGAGGGAGAACCAAACTGCTCCAGAGTGAGCGTGCGCGTGCGTGCTTGTGCGCAAGGGGGTGCTGGCAGAAGGCTCCTCAGAGGTGACTATCATTCCCACAATAAAGTCACGGCAGAGTTGAGCCTTGTTGATTTTGATGGGGAAGTGAAGAAGGCATTAAGTAAGCCATCAGAGAAATTTCATTACAATAAAATTTCATTAATGTAAAATGCCTTTGTGGATGCCTTATTAAACACACTGACGAGCCCGGCCTGTTCCCGTGTCCCGCAAGCCCACAAGCCAAGGCCCGCGACTGGGGAGCGGACGGTGCCCTTCCGCGGCAGTTCTGCGTGCCTGTGGCCCCTTCTTTCCACCAGAGAGAGAGAGAGAGAGAGAGGCCTGCTCAGAGTCCGGTCTGAACCGTGTCTGAGGGGCGGGCGGTTCTCTGCGTGCACCCACGCTGCTCCTCAGACCTTTCTAACAGCGGAGCGCTCGTCACCATGAAGGCCACGGCAGCCACATAGAAGTCTTCTCACTGAAACCCTGACTTCCTGAGCCGCTTAGCTTTGCTGTCTGAGCATAAACAATGCTACATCCGCCCTTCAGCGACCACCTTCCCAAGTGGTCCACCTTGCGGAGGGTTATTTCGTCCCCTCCGAATCTTTAAAAGGAAAAAGGTGAAAGATTTATACGATCTGAAGAGAAACCAGAGTATATTTTTTCTTTTCTTTGGTACCAGGAATTGAACTCATGACCTCAGGCTTGCCGGGCAAGCGCTCATGCCACTGAGCTATATCGCCCGCCCGCTCCAAATCTTATTTCCCCCACACTTAATGCACTCTCCTCATTCCCCTTCAGGTCACCCCCATCCTTTCACTCTCTGCTAAGCAAGCTCCGGGCCGATCACTGTTTTTATCATTATAAAATAGCTCCCAGTTACAGCAAGCTGCCTCCCCCAGAGGTGTGCGATTTGCTTCAATCTTTTCAACGATACCTTTGTGCGGCAAGTATTTTCACCCTCACTTGTCAGTCAAAAGAACTGTTTTCTGCTGCTGTCACTAAATATCCGAGACGGGCTAGCTGGGAAGGAGCAGCAGCGCTTGGCTCACCATTTTAGAGGTGGGGAAGCCCAAGGGCAGGCGTGGGCGTCGGCGACCACTTTGTCGCTGCCTGTAAAACGATGGCGGTGTCCCACGGTGACGCAGAGCGAGGGGGCCAGCCGGTCTCTTCCTCCTCTTGGAAGTCGCTAATGCCATCATGGCCACCCATGCCCATGACCTCATCCTATCCCCATTCCTTCCCCACCTCCAAGTGCCACTAATGCGGACCCCAGGATTAAGCTTCCAGCACCGGAACTTGTGGGGGGCACATTCACAAGAGGACAGCTTCAAGCCCCAGGAGCCCTAGCCCACCCCATTCTGGGGGCTTTGGAGCTCTCAGCACATATCAGCAAATCACTGTCCTGCAGACGGGTCGCCCAGCTCAAGAACCAACGCCCTGCCGCCTTCTGCAGATCAAGCACCACACCTCCAGGGAAGCAGCCTGCGACGTGGCCTTGGCAGCTACGATGCACTGCTGCTTCCGGCTGAGTCAGGAATCCACCGAAACCCAAAGGCGAGTCTTACTCAAACCGCCACTAAGTACCAAAAGCATTTCTAATTTGCGCTCGGTCCTTTCTAATGGAGTGAAGCTTTCTTCTTTTCTGGTACCGGGGACTGAATCCAGGGCCTATGCACTAAGCTACTTCCACAACCCTTTTTGTTTTGAGGCAGGGTCTTCCTCCGTGGCTGAATTGCCCAGGCTGGACTTGAGTTTGCAATCCTCAGCCTCTCAGAGTGCTAGGATTAAAGACATTAGTGTTTTAAAGCTCTTTATCCCTCAAGAACACCTACGTAGCTGTGTTTCTGTGCTTTTACAAAAGCTCAGCTGAGAGGAAAGCGGACTGAAGGGCACCTTTCCTGGGACAACACTCTTCAACCTGGGGGCCTGGGCTTTCCCTCGAAGACTCCGCCACCAGGCCGGGCGCTCCACAGATCACGTCAGACGAGAGGCACTGTCGATGCACTCTCTCAGCGAGGCTCTTGGCTCCCCAGAAGCACAGCACCGATTCCCAGTTCGTTTCCTACTCAAGCAACACAGAATCCTGCCGGGCTTGGCCGCACGTGCCTCCCTCTGCTCCACAAGGACCTCGGCAGCGGTCCTGCTTCTCTACTACTCATGTCTCTGGGGCAACTCGACATATTCTGCCGGCCAAAGATTGTAAAGCCTAGAAAAACTACTTGTAGGAATCTCTCAAATTTATAAAAGATATTTTATCCTAAGGGAAAAGATCTGGCCCAATTGGCATGGCTGTGCCATGCCAAATCCGTACAACAATGCGAAAAGTAAAGAGGCATCGTATCCTGTCAGGTAGAAAATAAAAACCCTGCGTCAAAACCACAGCGATTAACAGTCATGAGCCTGAGCATGCGAGTAAATTAAAGGTAGCAGAATGATCAACAGTGTGAGTTCTCTGATTGGCACTGGGTCATTGTGCCCCTTACATGAGATACTGTAATTTTCCTTACAAAACTGTCAGCGCCACGAGGAGAAGACTGCCGGGTTACCTTACTTAGTCCATTATGCAGACCCAATCCACAGAAAACTCTCCTCAACATTAAGGGGCAAAGCTGCTCTTAGATCAGTTTTTCCACAGTTGGACACTGGCAAAATGGACTCTCGAAAGGCTCTGAAAGGTCTTGGAGCTTTACGGGACAGCTCGGCTGCAGCTACGCTAGTGAAGCCTCTCCGATTCTAGAATTAACGTCTAAATCAGCAACTCAACACTTTGGTACAAGAAATTAACTGAACGCAGAGCCAGCAAATGTAGGAGATGGATCTGTGTGTGGAAAACCTTGTGAATTCCTCGGAAACCCACACTTCAATGCTGGTAATGATTAAAATGTTCTACGAATCAGTCAATGACAGACCAAGTAACTTTTCATGTAAGGATTATTTTTTAAATATACTTTTTTCTATGTTCTTGCAGTCATCAGGTGATACACCCCTTGTCCCCGCCCTCGAGTCTACCAGCAGTATGAAATGAGTTTGAACCTTAACCTGCAAGAACAGCACTGGCACACAGGTGCAGTATGCAAAACACAGCCAGGAGGATAACGGGGTTGCCACACAGCGGAAGGGGGAGGAAACGAGTGGGGAATGTGGGAACTCAGGCTGGCTTCACGAGGCTGTCAGGAAGAAAGAGGAGGAGGAGGCTGTGACTCCACACATCTGTTCCTCCCAAACATCTCTGATGGAAACTGCTCTGTAGCCACCACCAACAGAGGGGAAGTTTTTCAGCTTCTTTACCAAAAGGAGAGAACCTCAACGGTCACCACCATGTGTATTTTAAAATCTATACATTCCTCAAGCCAGAACGGGTCCCAGGCATGTAAAATCACCCACCTCCATGAGGTACAGAATCTGGAAGTTTCTACCAAGTGATGTGGCCATAAGTTATGCAAACAGAAACGATAAAACTCACTGAATTACTGGTCCACAGCCAGGATATTAAAGGAAAGTTGATGTTTTTAGACTCCAGTTTTTTGTTCCTGTCATGGAAAGTGCTGGATGTGCCATCTTTATATAAAATCATCTTTTAGTTTTAATGGTAATATTTTGGGGGACAGTGTCAATATTTTTAGTAATTTGATCTCTTGTTTGTGTTGGAAATAGTTTTGTATTTAGAAACTAGGTCCAAGTAATTTTCCAGGTTCTGGGAAAATAAAGGTGCAGCTTGGAGGTGAAATACTAACATCTCACAGCGGTCGGCATCTAGGACTAGATGTTTTCAAATGTGCGCTCACCTCCACGTCACAGGTGTACTCCGAGCCGTCCAGAAGGACCACCTTGCACTGCATACTTTTGGGCTTTTTGACGATCTTTAATGGAGAGCGGGAGAGTTTACTGCTGGATGACTTCTGAGAAAGTTTATCGTCTTCAAACTGCTGATACTCGAGCTGTTTCGCAGCTGCAGCAGCAAACTCCTGCTCCTTGTCGGTGACCTGGGAAGAGCAAACAAGGAACAGTTTTCGTTGCAAGACAGGAAAGAAATAGTGCAGTGTTCAGGTAACACACCGCACCTGGGAAGCGGCCTGCTCTCCTGTTTTGTAGGGGATGGGAGATATCAAGTGGGGTATTAGGAGGGGATATTCACACCCAAATATGTGTAATCTCATATACATAATCTCATATGTACATCTCACCTGAACAGCACTTGCCATTTAAATGAACCGGTAGGGCCTTATTTCAGCTTGACTCCAGGATTTGATTTAAAAGCACTGAGTTAGCAAATGCCATCAAGATTTCACTAAGCAAAGAAAGTTGACTCCTGACTTTTTAAAGACATCACAGGCCTCTAAAATAAATCATCTGAACTGTATCTTATGTGTTCTATTTTCATAATTCACTGGATTTTTCCATATTCCTTGACTTGTTATAGCCATCTCATCTCTGTCCTTACAATGTATCTTAGAAAGCTCCAGGCTTGGAGAGCTCCAAGTATTAATCTTTTTAGTACTAGTACAACTGTGAAGGTATCTGACTTAGCTCTCCATCAATTCAATGAAGTCGTAAGCGCTGAAATTCATCACGAAGTAATCCCTTTAGTCTGTTTCTCTTCCTGGTAATGAGCCAGTAGCAGAATAGATCAAATCTGTCCAAAAGCTTTAATCTGCTTTCGAATTTCAACAGCCTGGTCCAGCTCTGACTCAAAAGTGCAGAGGCCACTCTGGTCAGTCCTGGGACCCCTGGACGAGTCCTCTGTGACAGCTCTGTGTGCACTGCTCTCTACCGACTTTTCTCCATCCCCCTGCTATTAAATGGAGGGCACAGCAGGAGTGTAAATCATCCGTGGCCGCACTACCCTTTCCACCAGTCTGAAAATATGCACCGACAGACCGTACGAGATATACGCTAAACTGTAATAAGCACGACATTTCTTCTCCCACCAGTGTACTGTCCACCTGGTGCCTAAGAGCCCGGGCTCTTAGGTAGAGACAGTATTGGTGGTTTATTATTTCAGCTTTTCGTTTCTACCGGTCACTACAGTTTATAACCACAAAGTCAAGTTTGGCGTATTTGTTTTGGATTTCAGTTACAATTTCCTGCTTTTCCCACATTTTCTACCTTTACTTCCATCCACACGTTGCTTAGAGTCTTTTCCCCCACTGTCACACCCGGGAATTCTAGACGACGACTTGGGAGGGTCTTACGAATAAGAGAACAATCTGTTGCGCTTATGAGAGCAAAGAAAACACTGTGTAACCAAACACCAAAATAGGTGAGAAAGCGAGCTTCAGCTGAAGCAAGCCAGTAAATGAAAGAAGTGTTCTGGTAACTTGGTCCAACCTTTCTGGCCAGCATTCCTTCTGTGTCAAACCATTTAAATAAGAGACAGAAGAAACCCATTAAACTGTCAAAAATGCTGTGTCTGAGGGAGATTAAGGGGAAGTTTGGTAAGCTTGGATTTGTGTATCAATACCCATACTGCATGTTGTTAGGTGCATTGTAATTTATATAAGATTTAAGCATATTTAGTTTATACTTTCACCTCTTCACAGGCAAGGTCAGTTTTAATTTAAATTTTACCTGAAATCAACTTTTTCTATGTATTCATGAAAATCAAATTTCTTTTTTCCTCTACTAAATAAGATTCTGTTTGAGAATAAGGATTACTGAAATGTTAACTCCAGAGCACCCTAAGCCACATCAAAGGACAAGTCTCATTTCTAGGGGCACTTGGATGATGAATCTACAAGGCTCTGACAACACATTTTAGAAACAACTTTACCAGCTCTAGAAGAGCTGCCCAAGTACTCAAATGACACGTCCACTGTAGACTGTGATGCAGTGTAATCAAAAAGTATCAGCATCAACCACTTTAGTAAATCCTCATCCCACTCAACCCTCCTGGCAGCTGAGACGAGGGTACCTCTATTCCCATGGCAGATGAGGACAGGCAGTCCCAGGGAACCTACAAATTCTCTCCAGGTCAAAAATTAGAGACCTGCAATTCAAAACTTCAGCCAAACGCAAATTTCAGTAAGCACCAAAATATACTTCACTTTACCTGCACCACAACTGGCTTCTTCTGCTGTGGAGCACAGAATGCTACAGAAGAATCTTAGAAATGATCTTTTCTGCTGTCTTCATTTTGTAGATGAGCAACAGCACGAGGCCCGAGGGCACAGGTGTGTCTGGCGATGGCTGGAAGAGCCAGGACCTACTTAGGTCTCTGCCCTGTGCGGTGGGCATCTCTCCCTCTGGTGGCTCAGTAGCGTTGCCCTGGTTTGGTCTCACACACTCGATTGCAGAAGATAAAGTACAGTCCCACGCCACACCAGGACACTCTGGTTCAACACTGGACCAATCCCACGCAATGATGGTGGTCCCACAAGACAGTGTGATGGACTGAAAAGTTCTTACCTGCTAGTGACATCACAGCCATTATAATGTCACAGTGCAACGCACTGCTGGTGTGTTTGTGGCCGTGTTGCTAAGACAGACCTACCGTGCTGCCAGCATACCTGTACGTAAGTATGGAATGCTTGATAATGATGATGACTATGTTACTGCTTTATGTATTTACCACAGTATATTTTTTTAGAGTTACGGTGTATGGCTACTTGTAAAAAGTTCCTGGCAAGTCAGTCCCCAAAGCAGCAGTCCCATGCGTTTAGGGTTTGGGTTAGGGTTACCCTCCCTCTGGCTTGCATCCATTTCTCGTTTTTCACTTAATCTCATGCAGTTCTGAGCAGCACAGTCCTCGGAGGAGCAGGCTCTATTTACACTATCTAGTGTGCAGCAGCCGCCCTGTCGAGGTGTGTACACGCACGGTGCGGGGCTCACAGGTGGCAGAATTGCCAAAGGGTGAGCTGCTCAGTGCGTCTCCTCCTCAAGTGACCCAGCACTGTGTGTTTCATCATGTCCAGGTACAGACACGGCTCTTTTTATTCCCTCGCTTGCATTTCATTCCTTTCAGAACTAAGGGGACAGAATGAAGAAAAGCCAAATGGTAGCAATTTAAGATTAAAGAAAACACAACAAACGAAATTAAACAGTACCATCACGACTTCACACAAAAAAGCAAAAGTAAAGAAAAACGAGGCCAACAGCAGACCTTTGGGTTTCGTTTGCCAGGCCAGGATAGTAGCCCCAGCTCGAAACACAAAATTGCGGAGATCAAACAGAGCAGCCATTAATAAAGTGAAAACAAAGGGTGTTAATACTGTCCACGGGCAGGACTTGCACGTGCTCTGGGAAAGAGATCAAAGAACCTGGAGATTAGGGTTTGATGAGCACAGAGTGTGATGTCACAACACTGTGTTGTGACCCTCAGAGAGTTCTCACTATGACGCTCATTTCATGCCTCTTTTCTCAGTATCGCCTAGAAGTTCCAGCTCATCACAAACACTTTCAAACTGTCAGAGATCAGTCACTCGAGGACTCTGGATTTTGGCAGCACATACAGGTTAGTGCTCTAAAACATGCTGATTCTTACTTTGAAGTTTCAAGACAAAAGAAATTTCAACATGGATTCACTCAAGGCCAGAGCATAAACCATACATTATTTCTAAAACAGAATTTTTGTTGTTTGGGGCGTGATGTGGGGAACCTAATCCAGGGCCCCCTACATGCTTAGCATGTGCTTTTCCACTGCCTTCCACTCTAGTCCCTTGAATGAAAAGTTTGACAACTCAAAATGCATGGAAAATAGAGCTGAAAATAAAGATGTGTGCAGGGGGTGGAGACCTACTTAAACATCCACTAAGAGCAGATGTTAATACTAGGATCAGGATGACGTCTGGGGGAAAAAAACCCATCCACAACCTTTATTCAAATCAAACCACAATCAGAAGCAGAGTTAAAGCTGGCTGAATGCTGTCTCCCCTTCCAGAAAATCCAGGTAGAACCAAGCACCTCTGGCCCAGATTTCAGTGTCAGTTTAAATGTCTTACAGGAAGGAGTCACCAGGGAAGGTTGCAGAGTGTCGTGGGCTGTGAATGCCCCAAAATTGCACCAGTTTTTCTCTGCCGCGACTGCGCAGGCCCCGAGCTGGTCTAGAGGTCCAAGCGGCATAAGCTCAGGGGTGCCCCCTGCTCCCTGGGGTACTCACCTCCCTGTGCACCGGGGTGCTGTGTGCTGCAGCGCCCTCGAACTGCTCCAGTGCCTGGGGCTCCACGCCCTGCGCCTCCGCAGGCCCCTGGGCCCCTGCCGCCTCCTGGGGCGCGGCCTCCTGCTCCGGCTTGGATTCTGAGTCTGATCCAGATTCAGTCGTCATGGTTGATTGTTCTGGAAGCAGAACACAAGGACAGAGGTGGTGTCTTGGATGCAGTGACCTCCATTCTCTCCCAAGGGCCCTAACTACCGGGGGCGGGGGGGAGGGGCTGCCCTTAGGGACCCAGGCAGCCCAGCGCAGTCCTGACCCAGCTCCCAGATGTGAACCGCTGGGGTATATGTCACAAGGGCAGGTGACATTCCATCTGTCATGATTACACTTGCTGCTGCAGGTTTAGGTTTTTGCTGCAGATCATCATTAAATGACATTTCCAAAATGTCACAATAATTAAATGATTTATGTTTAATTTCATGAAAGTGAATTTGGCACATATGTATATGAATAAATCCCTGGGACACGTAAGAAAATGATGGATGTGGATATTCCCCACCTCCTTCCTCTGCCTCTGCTTATCTTTACGTCCATGGACCTATGGATTCTGACAACCACTGCTTTTCTCATCTGACTTCTCCTAATTCTCTTTTTCTCCTTTTGAATTTGGAACCACAACTGCAAGTAGAGGCTTCTTTCAGGGCGTAGGCCCTGTCCCACACTGAGCAAGTGCTGGCCACAGCTGGGGGCACTCTGTAGCACCCCCTCCTTCTCTTGCTCCCAAATTAATTCTCATCTTCTCCCTGGCTTCCTCCTGCATTCCTAAATCCTACAAATGCGTTTGTCTCAGATCTCAAAAGGAGCTCTAACAAAGCTGGTGATACATCATCCTTAAGCAGGGCTTGTTTCCTAAAAATAGACCGAACATATAAGCACCGCCTTCCGCGTGCTGGTCCAGACAGGCATTTGAGCCTCGGGTTTCACGTGTGTTGATGTGAAAACCGGACAAGTCTGACCCATAAGAACTGACTTCCTACTGTTGCATTTTTCCTGACTATTAGACACAACACTGTGTTCTGAAGCAGATTTCTCTACCAGGCACTACGACAGCTAGGATGCCAAGCAGACACAGTGACATTTTAAGTCGCATCTTATGTACGTGTGGTAAACATCTCAAAAAAGCAAGTGTCACATATAATTTCCCTTTCTAGTGTTAATTTTATGGCAAAAATATCTCCTGAGCAAGGGGCTCGTGTAATATGCAAGAAAACAGTGTACTCACTGGTAGACTGTAGAATTATGCAAAGTAAAACTATTTACTACGGAGAATCATCATCCCGTTTCTGTCCTCAAGACACACAGCAGGAGGAGCTGAGTGACTTGAAGAGTAAGGGACATCACCAACAGCAACCAGGGCCACCCCAGTGCTTCCCACTCAGAGTACTGTTCACAGTCCCCGACTACTACTCCTGTTGAATAAGACACATCAACCTGGCTGTGCTGAGAGGCCCGAAGCATGTGTAAATATCAAGTCCAAACCCACAGCAAGAGCACAAGCCAAATAAAACCGACACATTTTCTTCTTTTCCTCTTATGTTTCACTTTGGACTGTCATGCAAATCTTGAAAGTAAACATTCATTTCCTCGGCACACTCATCCTGGGAACTGGTGCGGCCGCAGAGAGCAGGCGGAGAAGGGGCAAAGGTGCTGGTACGTGTCACTCGGAGCCTACAACTGAATTCCAGTTTTTGGAGGGGGATGGTCAGTTTTAACACCCAACTCAATTTACCGCACACTGAGAACCACATACCAGACACTGAAAATGTTGCTGACCCTACTGTCTTCCTCACCTCTGTCCTCTACAACCCCCCGGCTCTGTGAGGCCAACCCGGGATGCCAGCTCAGCAGAGCTCCCTCTCACTTTCCCACCCTCGGCCCCTCCGCAGCCCACCCAGAGATGAGATTCGGAAGTCGTCTTTAGTGAGTGACTTCAGGTGCACTATCGCAGCTGCCTGGATGCTGTGAGTCAACTGAAAACACTTCCCTTTCACGGTCATTTTGACTTTGGGAAGAGCAGGAAGTCACACCGCGTGAGACGGGGTGAATGAAGGACTCCAGGACACACTGTAGGTTTTTAGAAGCCTGTCTTTTCATTGGATAGTGCTTGGCAGCAGTGTTCAGGGGTTTTTGTTTTTTCTTTTTTTCATCATACCTTATAAAGACACTCAAGAAAGAGGACTTCCAGAACTGCTTCAGAAAATGGCAGGAATGATGGGATAAGGTGTCTGAAGCAAGGGGTGGATTTTGCGGGAATTCATAGCAATGTGTTGTATACTATAATTTTTAAAAATTTAAACATTCACTATATGTTTTAATCCCCTTTCATACTTTACACAGCCCTCCTCTACCCAGCTTCTGCCTGCAACCAAAACACAGAAAATCCAGTTCTGGGTGGGCTTCTCTTCTTTCCTCCTATCTTCTCCCTGGTAGATGACACACTCTTCAAGGTTGGAATACTTCGTGCAGCTCAGGGGCCCCCAATCCTCTCCCTACCTCAGACCTCGGTTCTGAGCATCCAGGCGAGGCTCCGTCTCCCCACGTGCCTGCCCCCTGAAGCCCAACAGGGAGCCCTGGGGACTTTCACCCCAAACTTGGTCCTTGTCTCTGCATCACCCTGATGTAGTCAATGGCAATGTGCCCTCCCAAGCCAGAACTGCAGGCATCATCCCGGCATTTTCCTTTCTCTTACCTTCTTCAAACAGCTCTCCAATGCACTTGAAGTAAAATCTGAACCCCTACTTAGTGTGGCCTCCAGGGGTGTGTCTGGCCCTGAGACCCCGCTCTGCCTCCAAGGTCAAGCTACCAGTGCCTCCCTCCAGTTTCTTAAACGCACCAGCTTCCGCCTTCAGGTTTGTGAGGGGCGGTGAGAACATTCCTCCCTCTACCGTTAAGGAGCCAGCCCCCTATTCCTCCAGGGCTACCCTGGAGACGCCCACCTTGGTCACACAGCTGTTCCAGCTTCCCTTCCCAGCACTGTCAGATGTGATAATCATCCTCTGCTGGTTCGACCTGCTACCTACATATTCCAGGGTGAGAATCACATCCCTTTCTACCCCAGTACACCCAAGGCCACCACGGTACACGAAAATTTCCATAATTATTTGATGAACACAATGCAAAACCAACCTCATTTATTATCATATATTTGCATTTAAAAGTGCAGTATCTCTCTTTCATAGTTTTCACTGTTAAAAAAAACTCTCCAATGTGTAAAAAAGTAGGTATTTCTATGTTTTATAGCCAAGAACACAGAATTTATTTACAAGTGTCTGAAAGGAAGACCTTAAAAGGTAAAAATTAATGTAAGCTACACATATGTACATATATATACATGTAATATATATAATACACATATGAAGATAATATGAAAAGGTAGCGTGTCTTTCTACCTACCCAATTTGAAAAATCAGAACGTAATTGTCACTAATTCAGCCCACCAAAAATACTATTGGTTTTTTTAGTCTAATGCTTTCACGAGTAAAATGAAAGTCTTAGCAAAAAAATTCAAAAAGAAAAGGCGTTTTACAGAATCTCTATTGAAGATAATAAAACAGAGCCCTTAAATCATGAGTATAAAAAGTAAAAAACAAGTAACTACTAGAAAAATCACTTTTTAGAAAGCTCATTTTAAAAAGGTTCTACGGCAAGGCAGTTCCTGCATATAAATTATTTTCTTATCTTTCAAATAATTTTGTGTATTATCAAGGTCTCCCAACTATGTCTTATGAATATCTCTTCAGGATTCTGTGTTACTGCTATTACAAATGTTTCAGCAAACCACCGCTGTCATTTAATAACGAGATGTCAAAACAGTTACAGAAATAAAAAGCTAGAATCTTGTTTCAAGCTCTAAATGTTACAGCTTATTTCATCTTAAAATGTATGTATCATCTTTATGAATACATGAAAATAATTAGCAGCAAACAGGTTTCTTGTATGATGTTGGGGGAATGATAATTATTTCAGTCTCCTGCTTCCTTTTCTATAAAACGAGAGGCTGAGATGAGAAATTAGATGACTAAGGTTGCTCCCCGCCAGTGCAGTGAGAGATGGCCAGGAGGCGAAGGGGTGGGGTGGAGGAGCAACCCGAAGATACTTCCATCTGAGCCAACGAATCCGTCACCCCTTTCATAGGCTTCCTGCAACTACTTCATTACTCTTTAGACACAGAAGTTTTTTTAAACGTAGTTGAAATATATCCATCTCCTTTCAGCATATTCTAAACTTTTAGTTAAAATGTTATCAAATATGCATTAAAATAGAAATCTCTCTAAAATACATGCCTCAGTTCCAGGACACAGTAAATATGGGATAGACAGGAACTAATAAAAGAGTGTCCCAATTTGGATACTAATGTTGTTATTCCAGTCATGCAACCATTCTGCACCTGCCTTTGTCTTTAATTCCAAGACACAAAGCCAGCTATACACAAACTGAATAAAAATGCAAAATGGATGGAGTCCAACACCCACCTATCAGCTATTCAAATAAGAAAATTACCTATCATTTTTTACCTATGAATATTCTACATAACACCTTACCAGTCATAATACCACATGAATCACAGAACGTCAATCATTAAAAAAAGCTCCATGCCCTTGCCAGATATTTCCTTGGCATACTGACTTTTGCTACAAGAATAATATAACAAATGAAAATGACTGCTATGCCTGATAAATGTGAATAAAAGTTTCGTAGCTATTGAGAGACAGTAAAGCAACAATCTTTTACAATGTAAGGCTTTTTAATTCTGGAATCTCACTAGAATCGATATCCAATTCCACGTATCTGAAAGGTCATAAGTTCATACTGTACTAAAAAAAAACCAGTATCAATGGCCTAGATCAGAAAATTCAATTTAAAAAACTTCAATACTCCCCCATCCATGTGCCAACATAAGCAAGCAAAAAACATGTCTTAAATGGCAAACGATTAAAATTGAACTCCTAAATACAGTATTTCTAACTTTAACTCACTTCAGTGACTTTACAAGTGTGCTCCTTCACTAGTACTTAAATGCCAAAATGGTTTTTTAAACAAGTTTTTTACCTTTTATTTATTTGATTTTATTTTATGAGACAGGGACTCACTCTCCAAAATATTTTCTGAACTAGGTTTTCATGATATTTACATCGCTTTTGCTTTTCTTTTTCTTATATTCACCCCGTGCTTTCTTGGACAAATCTTGTCAGCCAAAATCACACCTTTTCCTTTTGAACTCACTAAGGACTGTTTCTAAGGTTCCCTTATCTTCTGATTTGCTTACCTTGGCCTAACGAATAGCTGATAATTTGGGTTACTGGAAGCAAACTACAGTCCCACACAGAAAGCGATACAAAATGTTTAGCTTTGATTTAAAACTGTGCCCTCTGAGCTTTAAATTTACCTCACTGTTTGTTGTGTTTAGGCTGAAAAGATTAAGTTCCTATAAACTGCAAATCCTAGTAGGGTTAAGGATGTCCCTAAGTGCACTAGGCTGACGGCAAGAGGAATGCCTTACTTTTAGAGAAACATCAATTGTATTTCCATTTGCCTCTCTCAGGGATATATTTATTAAACGACTGCCCGGAGAAATGGTAATGACTTCAAAGAAAGCTTTGCGCAGGTGCTAATGAAATCGCAGCACAATTCCCACCCCAGTTGCCGACAAAGATGGCCACTGGCATGCATGTCAAGCTTTGTTCCTTCTCAGCCCTGAATTTTTATTCCAAAGGAGGAAGAAGAAAAATACAGCCCAGTTTGTCCTCACCTCTCTGCCTCTAGAAACAGCATCACGAAATCTCCATCTCCTGACTAAATGACGGCCGGGGAGGTGAGTTCCCACGTTCGGTCACCTGTCTGTCTCGCCGGTATGAAAATTCCACGGACTTTTACGAGAAGACACAAGCTGAAGGCTTACCAGAATAAAATCCTCAATATACATTTTTGTCATTTACCTGCCTACGCGGACGAGGGACAACAACGGACACACGTTAAACATCAACTTTTCCCCTTTTATATTTCAACTATAAATTTATAGACGAGGAGGGAGGCCTGTAGAACTTCACCAAAAGAACTTAGAACTACCCAATACTGTTCACCAGTCTGCTAAAATCATCAAATGAGACAGAAAAATCCCCACACTTTCCACTGGATTCTTTCATTTGCATATTTTTAAATGCCCTGGGATACCTACCCAAAACAAAACAACACAAAATAAAACAACCACCCACAAGAAACCAAAACCATCTGCTCCTGGTCTCCAATGCCCGATCCATCGAAGCCCACCCACCCCTCTCCTTTCCCTCAGGGATAAGCTTCTAGAAACAATCGTCTTGCTCTGCTTAGACATCCTGCATCTTACCCATTCCCAGAATACTCCCCATTACTCTCGCAAACCTTGCTAAGGTTAGCAGGGACCTCCCCAGGAATCAATGCGTCCCAAGGGACATCTCCTCTCCCAACCCTCCATGGGTGTGGGACACCTGATTTTCTTTCTTTTTTTCTTTTGGTACTGGGAATCAAACTCAGCACCTCATGCTTGCCAGGCAGGTGCCGTGCCACTGAGCTATAGCCAAGGCCGGACCCCTGATGTTCCTTCGGCCTCCACTGGCGGTTTGTTCTTGCTTCCATCTACGTCGCCACGTTCTGTTTTCCAAACCCGGCAGTCGTTAGGTTAGCCCTCTTCCTTGAAAACCTCACCTAGTTTGGTTTTCAGGGCTCGCCCTGGGTATCTCAGAGTTGCCTAAAAGCAAACATCCGTTCACCTAAGTCCTTGATCCTCTGAACACGCGCACCGCCATGCCCTGCCCTTCCATTTCCCCCTTCCAGCAGGTGGACTCCAGTTACCCACACTTCACTCCGGACCCTGCCTTTCTCCTTACTCTCAGCTCCCACCCACTTCCTGTTTATCTGTTTTACCTCTTGAGTTGTGTTTAAAAAGCCACAAGGAAGTTCAGGCCAGGCCTTGCCAGCCCCTCAGGAAAAAGCAGAACCCCTGAGTGGTCACACGCAGGCACTTACTGCCGCGGCTGGAACCTGTGGCTGCTGGGGCGAAGATGAGGGGTCAGTCCCCCAAGGCTGTCCACCTTTGCTGCAGAGACTGGGCCTGTTACCCAGAGATCACCCGGGCAGCCCCAAGGACCTTGATGGATGGGGCCGGCAGGACGCCTGCATTCTTCAGCTCGGAAATAAGGCCAGGCAGGCCTTGCTCGGGCAGCCGTGGGCCGATCCCTCCTCAACGGATAAACACTTAAATTCGGAGCTGCTCGTTATTAAGTCTCTCCAAAAGAGTGGGCAAGGAAGAGCCGAGACACTGTGTGTGACTAACAGCAGGAACACTGGTGACGGTTTCTTTTGTTGTTTTTCAAATAAGCTTTTCGGCCACACTCACTGCAAGCTCTGCATGTCAACACACCAGGTCTCGTCCGGGTGACATTTTAAGATCAGACAAAAAGCAGAAAGCTGGAATTTTCATGCCAAAGACATCATAACTCCAGAATGATTTTACCAGTGACCACTGCAAACGTTCAGAGGATGCGCAATATCCATCAGTACGGAGAAGACATCCCAAACAGACCGCACACCGGTGATTCAGTGATGTACATTTAAAAACTCTCCGAGGCCAACACAAAAGTTAAGCTCTCTGATTTAAGAGATGGGCATGCTGAGAGGCTACCCAGGGCCGATCCGGTCCCAGTGCCCAGTGTGGGAGCACCCAGCCCAGAGAAAGAGGCGTACAGCCAGTCTGTGGGGTTTCCGCAGGAAATACCCCTTTCGTGGAAAAACTATCGCTAACCTTGAGTCTCAAATTAAGGGACTCACTTTACATTTTAAATGTAAGTGAAGTGAAGGTCACAGACCATCTCAGCAAGATAAAAGGGAAAAAGCGAAACACAAACGCACAAGGCGGCACCGTGACAGGACAGGAGGGTCCGGACCAGCCAGGGGCCTGGGCTCTGGGCCTGTGATGTCACTGCTCTGTGACTTCAGTGGAATTTGGTTTGCCTTGCTCATCTAATATTCCAAAACTCTAGGCCTCCTAAGAGCCAGAAGCACTGGCTAGAGGAAATTTTGTCTCCTAAAGAAAGTAAAGACGCACATCACCTGACCCTGCTATACCAAACACACAAAGATACCTGGTAGGTAATCATTAGCACTCTAGTAAGAAAAGAAAGTCAGCCTCTTCCCTCACTGCACAGGCCAGGCTGGACCAGGCCTCATGAACTAGTTGAGTCTACTAAGGTTTTATTTAGTTCACCAAAATAATATATTATCCAGGTTATGAAAAAGTTAGAAAAACTCTTATCTGCTAGGTAGGAAAAATCTGGCTTATTCTTAGCAAGGTGTAAGCTTTTTTTTTCAAGTTTAAAAATGTTTAAATCTATGGGTGAGCCGAATAATTAATAAATGCAGTTTGAAAGATTAGAAGGATGATAGACAGACACAGATAGGATGATTATGTAAGCATCTACCCTAATAACATACATAGTGTTCATAGTTGCAAATCCAACTGGTGCTAAATACTAAGATATAAAGTTCCCTACATTCTTTGAAATACCAAGAATCTTTCTTAGGTCAAAGCTGTGAAGCTGGATTTTGTTTTAAAGGCAGAGGAGAGTTTTAAGAAGAGGACAGAGCTTACAGATGATTTTAGAGGATCACACTGGCTTTTGAGTGGAGGGGAATGGAGGGAGTGGGATCCACTTGGTGCCGATCAGATCTACTGTGGCTCCATCTAAGAGGGAGAAAGTGGGAGGAGACAGAGCTCAACGCCAGCCTCTTACAGATGTCAGGTCTCTCAAGCCCATAGGGTCCCTGGAGGTGAGCAGACAGCAGGCAATGCATTCTCTTGCGGACCTCACAGGCAGGGAGCCAACAACCAACGAACGTCATGCTTCAACCACCGCCCTTGTGCAGTGGCTCCTCCATCACCTCCGCCAGAGGAGGTCAGGAGCTACCCCACCTCGTGAGCACTTCCTGGTGAAATCATCAAATCTGGGCGAAAGCAACGGTTGTCTGCATTTATGACGGATGTGTTCCTGCGGGTTCAGTGACAGCTCCAGCCTTCCAAGCAAAGCAAATCTGTCACAAATTCACATAGAGCATGTTGGCCTTCAGCGGAAAATGTGCTTCCAGACCTCACTGGAGAGCCTCACAGCAGGATGAACGGCCCCTGCACCTCCATGCTTGCTTGGCACATATATTAGCTACCACTGGGACAAAACACCTGGCATCTGGAACTCAGAGGGGGAGAGGTTTTCCTCGGCTCATGGTCTGCTGACCCTAAGGCAGAAACATCAGCGGGGAAGGACCTGGGGAAGACAGCTGTCCACCTCACAGCAGCCAGGAAGCAGAGAGAGACAGGAGGAACCCAGGAGAGATGATATCCTCCCAAGGCTGGCTCCCAGGCGCTCCTTCTACGCCTCCTAACAGCACATTTAGCTATGAACTCATCCGTGGGTGAATCCACCGGTGAATACAGAACGCCCATGATCCAATCTTCTTCCAAAGGGAAGCTCTGAACGCATAAGACTTGAGGGTGGCATTTTAGATCTAAACCATCATAGTACACAATCTGGCAGGGAATCAAAGTCCCAGTGAAATTTTAACATGTCTATACTTGATCCTATTATTGGAAAGCTGCGTAGATGCTACTAAAGATTCTACATGGTCTACACAAAAATCCTGGTGGTTTTAAGTTGTCCACCCAGGAATCCTGCCTTGCCCTAGGTTAGACTGAGAAAGCACCCAGCATACGCAGTTTTCCCACAATTCACCTATCTTGTCACTTTGACGAGCATTTTAATGTACTGTTGAGTATACAGCAGAGGTACCTATGGAGTCATTCCTAGGATTGAAAATTGCCTGGAAATACCTGTTTTTTCCAGGAGGTAACACAAGTGTTTGACCTCAGTTTCCTGATAGACATGCTTATAGCACTTCATTAGCATTCACTGTCACGGAAGTTGAGTTCAGGACGGACAGTGAGTTCATTTCTCCCAGCCAAGGGCAACCCCTTAATGGTGTTCTTTAGATTTTATGCAAAAAATTAAATCAAAATGGAAATTTCGGAGAACCAATGAGATGCATTGCTGCAAAGCATTCAGCCCTTACGCTAAACTCACTCTGGGAAGGAGTGAATAAACGACTCTCCATTTTCTGTTAATATAAATCAATCTTGGTAAGCACAAAGCTGTCATTGTGCCCTCAGTGTGTACAGCAGAATTTAAATGTAGTAGATTCACTTCTTAACGAAACTCTAAAGAAATCTTATCAAATATTGCCTTCATGGTTAAAGGGAAAAGTGAGCGTTGTCTCAAATGCACTGGGTATTCAACTGAAATAATTTCCCCTACTTTTGTGATATTATTACTTTTCAATTAACAGGGGTGGCACCTGAGAAGCACCCGCCTTAGGCTGTCAAACAAGCTCACCCAGTGACTGCAGTAGATGTGGTCCCCACCAAACAGATGGAGACAGTCCCTTAGGAACAACTCAGGTCTGAGCTTCTGTCCTCCTTCCTGCAGCTCAAACTGGCACACTGGTACCACGTAAAACCTTCCGGCCTCCTTGTTCTGTCTCAGACTGGACGGTCTGCCCAAGTTTTGGCATTTGTTATGTGATCATCTAAAATTCCACACTGCCAGCATGCCACATTATCCCTTCACACAGGGTAAACAGCAAATTCAAACATCAATAAAATGAAATTTTCCCTTAAAGACTATTTTCCTTACTACTTATTGTCTTTAAGTATATATTGA